TTATTTAGAGAGGCAGCTATAAAGCACGGGGGTGTTCATTGTGAGGGTGATGCTTGTGACATCTATGGCCAAGAAAGTGATGATTCTGAATGGGAAACTGCGAGTGAAAGTGACATTGGAAATGATGGAAGGGATGAAATGGGGGATGAAGATGATGATAGTGAATGGAAGAATGAAGACGATAGGAAAGACAAATATGAGAAGCCTTCAACAAAAGGTACTTTTTGACACTTTGGTACTATATGAAATATTTTTAGTGCAACTAGTGTTTTTCCTGCCTGTCAGATCTAAAGAAAACCAAGCAAAATGTAGATATATGGTCCGTGTGGAGAATGTTGAATTCACTAACTAGGAGATGTCTAACAAGAACCCAAGTGGGATGACTACTAAGTCTATGATAGCGCCCATCTTTGTGGAGGAATTATTTTGTACAATGGGTATCTGTTGATATCGTATTGATTTTGCCGGTCATTCTAGTTTTTCTTTTGGTAATAATGAAAGGGGGATACTATGCTAGCATTACCTATTATACAAGATAGTTTCTCGTGAAGTAATTCCTCATTTGCACCTTGCCCGAAAACAGATATGAAAGAAACAATTACTGTGAATTAATTGTGTAGGTTTTTTCCAAATTTACACTGTTATCTGTTCATAAGAAGGGTTTCCTCTCTCAGCTTGATGGTGAACAAAAGCAATCATAATGAATCCTATTATCTTTTTACTTGACCCACCCTACTGGTTTACATTTTAAAAGGTCTGTTGACTGGTTAGTAACTATTGGAGGTAAAATCTACGAAGAAGTACTTAGTAACTATTGACTGGTTATGCCATTACTACAAAGGCACCTTGTCATAAATTGTTTGCTTTCAGCTAGGAGACTTTGTAGTTGAATTAAAGTGAAATAGAAAAGAATCACTTTTTAGATTGAGAATATATAAAAAATTTGATTATAGTTTTACATATTGTGATTCCACCAAGTTTGAAATGAAACTCTGTGGTTTAAAAATTTTGACAATATTTCTGAGGAATTATTTACTTGCTCTGGCGATGATTGATATGCTTGAAAGCTATGTTGGATTAGGGTTCTTTTCATTTTATCAGTTCAGCCAGCTCTTCATGTAGTGACATGGCTAATGAGATGTATGATTCAATTCAATGATGAATTTTGCCTTCCTTTTCTCAGGAAAAATCTGTGCAGGCCAGTTTCAAGTCTCAAGTGGCTTCTCTTTCTAACAAATTTGTTTTTGTTTTTGTTTTTGGTTTATGATGCTTATGTTTATTTACTTATTTATATTTTTTCTGACATAGAGTAGGAGTAGTTTTCGTACTCGAGTCGGCTATTCTCATATGAGAGTGTTCTGCCATCTGAGTTATATGCCCTTACTTTGATGTATATATTTCTATTTATATTTTTCGTAAGTGATGTATTTACTTATAGCCCCTTGATTTGGGACAGACATAAAACATGGATACAATGTACAGCTAGCCGAGGATGAACCATGAATGTTTACATGAACTGCTCATCATCACTCAGTTATCATGACTACCAAGTTGCTTTTGCTCTCTTCAGTTACCTGATTAACTTCAGGCTTGCAACGGGTAATCTGCAGTTCCCGTCAAGAAGAAGAAGAAGAAGAAGAAAATGCAGGAGGTTTGAACTGACAGGATTTTGGTCGACGTGTTTAGAAGACATAATTGCTTTATACATTTTTGTGAATTTTTTTTCCTTTTTATCTCCCATATTCTTCATGTTAATTTCAACTGTAGAAAATGAACATAGATTTTTTGAGTTTGGGGAGAAATTTTAGACGTCAAAAAATGATGTGAATCTTTTGAGTGGTTCTTTTTCTTTTATTTTTATTTTTTGAAAAGAGGCTTGTGTAAATAAAAATTGCAGGACTGTAGAATTTCAAATCAGTGAGTATGAGATTATGATTTTCTATCCTCACATTTTGGCAAATTCTAGGTTGCATGTGCTTCATCAAAATATTTGTATTTGTGTAAGAATATATGACTGGTAAAAAAAAATAAAATAAGAACATATATGGTATAGTTATAAAAAGATGTAGTGGTGTTTGCAATTGTTGCGTTTGGAATAATATTAATTGTGTATATTTAATTAAAACTCAATCATGAAAAAATTTAATTATGCTGCAGAAGAAAAATAAAGTGTAAAAACCTCCTGGATAGAGAAAAAAAAGCAATGGAACAAACTCCAAAAAGGAAATGATTAGTACAAATAACCATAAGTTAATCACAAATTTGAGATTTATGACTAAGAAATATTCAAATTATTTTCCTACTTAACATTGTAGAAATCTCTCTATTTGTAGGTAAGTATTAGAAACATAATTTTTCAAATATTTTTGAATAAACCCCTCATTCTTTGCAATCCCAAAGATCTAATCGAAGCAAATCCTAACATTTTTCTTTAATTCTTACACACCCAAAGAAATTCTCTACTATCCTTTTTTTTTTTTTTTTTGAAGTGTTGCAACCCTCTTTTTCTCTTCTTATGTGTTTTTTGTTGTATGTCTACTCAATCCTAGTCTCTCATATTATATTTTTGTTCCTACTTAGTTTAGGATTTCTAATCATACTCAAACACACACACACACACACACATACCAAATCCCAAAAAGAAATGTACTCTTATAAATATTCTTTCTGTATTTAATATGGGTTGGACCCACTTAATAACCTCCCCCTTTAGTTCACCGGAGAATATATATTTCTCATCAATAATATAGAATTTAGTCTTCGTACTTTGACATAGAACTGCTTCTTGTCCTAAGTCACTACTTTTATTAATATATTAATTGAATTTTTTTTTAGCAAAATACCATGATTGTTCGCCATTTTACAAAGTCAATGGTATTTCTTATTAATATATTTGGTGCAATAACGATATGAAATATTATAACTCAAATCCATAACACTTTAATTGTCGTAGTTAACATTATATTTATTCTACCTCGAACTTAATTCGTGAAAAAATATTTTCAATCATAATAGTTACTTGCTAACTTCAATTGTTGCAATTTACCTTATTTTAGTTATAGACAAGGCAATAAACTTTTACAATCCAAACAATCATGAGATAGCTCTCCCTTTAAAATTAAATATGTATCCCGAAGTAGACTTCCTAAACTGTCAATATTACTTGTTATATCTACATATGTTTATCATTCCAAGATTGGTTTTAAACTACCAAAGTATACATATTAAAGTTACCTTTCACATTAGGTCTAGGTTAAACCATTGCATACTATTAAAAAACTACTTCTATGAAATTGTTTGTTGTTTTTTCAACTTCCATGATATAAGAGATCACCTAAAAATACATAAAAATCAGTTATTGATTTATATGAGTTAAACAAGTAGCTTAGTTAGAGTCACTAAGTGTTTTTAAAATTAAAGAATTTTGGGAAGGATAAAAGACTCCCTGGCCCTGATGTGTTTTTGAGATATCTCAAGATCTGGTGTGCAGCTTGAAGATGTTGTTGTGTTGGTGAGACAGTTGCTACAAAGTATAACAAATATCTAGTCTAGTA